GTTTTCTTCAATCCCTTGGAGGGAGCAAAGGCCACATGAAGCAAGGTGCGGGCAAGTACCATTGCAGGGTACTGTAAGTGACCCAGTGCAACTACTACTTTTCGGACCATAATATACATTACTCGTAGTATTCTATTACCGCGTACCCTACCGGTATGGTACACGTTGTACCCGCAATTTTGAAATTGCGCTCATCATGGGAAATACGTTACGACTATGCAGTATTAGTCGAAGATACGATCCTCAATTCAAATGCGGTAATAAATGTGCGTGGAGATGCCCGCGTCGGAAGGTTGACGATGGAAGTTGTTTTGTTGGATTTGAACGAAATTCTATAGGGGCGCAAAAAATCTTTGAAGTACTTTTTTAGGCTGAATATTTGACGTGGCCTATACTTTTTGTTTTCCATAATTTCGAAATTTCCACTGCATGTTTATTTATGAATTTTGGTCGGCACTTTGTATCGGTACTGCCAAGTGTCTATCTACGATATAAATCATCCTCATAAAATCGTATGATAAGAAGAAGGCACACGCGGTCAGAACCGGATCGTTATTGGCTACTGTAGCATGCGATCTTCTGCCAAAACTGGATGACCTGAGTGTATGACCTTCGGAAATCTCATCAACAGCAATGGCAGAACAAGACGAAATCGAGCGTTTGGCTCGTCGTTTGGCTCAGCTTGAGAAAAAGTCCAATGCAGAGATTAACGATTTGAAAGAAAACCTCAAAAAAGCACAAGAAAAATCCAATGCAGATATTGTCGATCTAACAGCAAACCTGAAACAAGCACAGCAAGCCTTGGAGGAACATGTTACGCAATCGCAGGAAGAGCGAACATCCTTGATTGATTCAAACAGTAACCGTTCGCAAGCCACTCGTGGTGATATGTGGCATGTCATTGGAAACAAGGAAATCGACGAAGCGCCTTCGAATGCTTTCAAGCAGCCGCAATTCAGACTATCTAATGACCTCTGTTCAGTAATTTGTGCAACCTCATGGAAACGCCTTCCCTTTTGGCTATCAGTTTTGATCATTGCGGGGTTTCAACTAACATTGTTTGTGTTGCTGCTTATTGACCGCGTTGGTTCGAAACGTTGGGTAGACTTTGGTGGAGAATGCGACGGAAGCGACTTATTTTGTCGACATGAACGCCCGCTTGACATGCCCCCAAATGTGGAGCCCTTGGTACGAGGAGCACAGGCTTTATGCCTCATCATTGCGCTGTACGATCAAGATGACATTCGCGATGGACTTGAAGGATTTTATGCTGGCATTCCAGTGGACTACAAGGGGAGCACCCATTTTCGAAACATGACTCGGTCTCGGTGGAACTTGAGCTGTTTCTTCCGAATGCTGCAGGGCATTCTGGGTGTATTATGCGCATTTGTATTGCTCGTACAAGCCGATACAGTGTTTGACGTGCTTCTCAATTTCCTCGTAAGTTGTCCTCATGCAATTATTAGGCTGTCGATTGTTGTGGTCTCAACTAGACCTCATCCTTAATTCTCACTTTCTGTTCTTTTCAACGTAATATCCATAGGGTGTCAAATTTATTGCAGGTGAGTTGTCGTCATCGTTGTTGAGGCTAGATTACTTCGATCATATTTCCTATCGAAGATAGCCAACTGGCGCCTTCTTTTCGGGTTCTTGGTGTTTCTTGGAGTGACTCTGGTGGGTTGTGGTGTGAAGCTGGTCCTTTTGAGTTGCGCACGAAGCGTGCGACTCAAAGGACCAGTCTCAGATTTCCCGTAAGACGTGAAATCTGAGACTTGCTTGTCTGCCAGGCCTTGACACGAAACAATCGTGTCAAGGCCCAACAGGGTGTGGTGGGATGGGAAAGAAAGAAATAACTCTATCTTTCTGTCAGTATACTTGCACACAAGTTCGATATGTGTAGATCGGACTTAGGTTGCTGGTGCAATACTGAGATGACGGTCGCCCTACCGTCGTTCATGGAGTCACTATTGAGTCCATTGGTTCGACCGCTTTCTTCCGTCTACGTTAGATTATCCGACTTTTTTATAGAAATGGACAAATTGGCATTTCATATTGCGCTCAAAGGGTACTTTGGAACTTCCATGCAGGAAGTGGCGGAGAACGTGGCTGAATCGTACTTTTGACGCAAAGAAGATACTTGTCCTTGGATACATCGTAACTTTCATGTGATCGTAATGCTGGGCATGTTAGCAGTAATGATTGCTTGGTTCGCCCAGCTTGCGTTTCTACAGGCCAGTGGTACCTGTTTGGTTCAGGATTTCTATGTCAGCTTTGGAGCGGACCCTTTTCTTGCCTCGTTCAGTGGATGCTATGTAGCAGATGGTCTGATCAATAATCGATTGTCATATTCTCAAATTGGAAGTGAGGCCAAGTTTGGATTTTGCGAAGAAATAGACAAGCGTGAAAATGGAGGAGGATGGACTCTGTATTTGGGATCGTCGCCGTGTCCTTCTGATTCTTATTACAACGAGGTCTTGGCCATATCTGAACCGACGAGGTCCTTCCACTTGCCTCTGTTGGATCCCGCAAAATGGCACATGCCCACAAAATGGGCACCAATTGAAGTGGTGCGCTTTGATCCTGGTGTGCATTGTTCCATCACTCTAGAAGAGCTGCACTACTTTCACGATCCATGCATTGCTTTTAATGTAACTAACAAAAATGGCCAGAAAACGTTTGAAAAATTGGTGACTGAACCGAGTGAGGAATATCCTTGTCGAGACCCCACAACCTGTCGGTCCATCTATGTTAGCAGACCGGATGCTGATGGTTGTTCTGGTGATATCGACATCATTTACTTTACTGGTAATTCCTGGGCGTACTCTGGAGCGGCATGGGATTTGAAAATTGAAAGTAGTGGGGAAGAATTAACGAACGATGACATTCGAAGTTTCTTTTACAAAGGAGATGGCTTCAGGATGGAGACTCATTTCAAATACGGAACCACAAGGTACATTACACTGCCTTGGTTTAGGAGTCACTTGCCTTTCGATGAATCTTGGTATGAGCCTCTGCATCATTCCATTGTCTACCACATGAGCGAGTCGGAGAATCTTTTTTTCTACCTCCCCTACGCAAATCTAGAGAAAGAAGCCGATTTGAAGTTTGAGTGCGTGGCTGGCAATACAAGAACGTATACAGTAGGTTGCTTCCAGAACGAATTTTCGTTTGGTGATGCTGCGTGCCTGTGTAGGGAGTCCATTCCAGAGCGTTTTGATCTAACAACTCCACGGGGTTTGGCAGTTCAAGATATCATCAACGACTGCGGTACAATTGAAATGTGCGCGGAATTTGCAGCTGATGACAGTAGTTTGGTGGTGAGAGGTCTGATTCAGGAGAGATACGCCCTCGCCGTGGTGAAGAATACTTTTGGTATCGAGTCGCAGGGATGGGACGGAAACAGCTGCACATCTTGGTTGGGAGAGACGGTCGAGCTGAAGTGCGATAACCAGACTAGTGTACAACAATTGATCTTTTTGGACTCGGACACAGTAAAACATTATGGTACAATACCACCGGAATTGCAATTGCTCTCCAATCTGGGTAAGGTTCAAGTGATTTTCAATTACATTCACTCTATAACCGTTGGGATCGCGCAGTAAACCTAACTCCACCATCTCACTTTCTCTTTGCTTGTACAGAACACTTGGACTTGGGACAGAACGCCATTCGCGGTCATATTCCAGAACAAATTGGTTTTCTTGGAGCATTAAGTACGTACCTCTTGTGAATGCTCGCATCGGTTGTGCATCGAACTCATGGAAAGCCCTGTTGCCTTGTGTTCACTTTGCTTGCTCCTATTCGTTACAGCCTACCTCGATTTATTCGATTGTAGTCTTACTGGAGTCATCCCTGACGGGCTTGGATATCTCTACAACTTAAGTGAGTGCCTCTATTGTTTCATGTATCTGCCACCTCGACTTGTTGCAGTTCCGTTGTGGTTTCAATGACTCGCATGAATCAATCAATCTCATTTGAAATCTATCGATACGCACTGCAGAATCTTTGTACTTGTCTGAGAACAAACTTTCTGGTCAAATCCCAAATTTTGGACATCTGGAAAACCTTGAGGTCCTTTCCATGTACAACAATTCGTTATCTGGGACTATCCCAGCCGAGATGGAAGCCAATGTGAACCTCACTTGTTTTGCCCGTAAGTAGGACACTCCTTTCAGATCTATTATATTTGCAATGGTCAATAAGCCCTGGTTGTCGCTAACACATGGATCATACAGAAGGAAACTCCATCACTGGTACATCGAAAGTTTGTCAGCTGTAATAAAACAAAAGGCGCCTTGATGGCGGTTTTCTGACTACGGCGTAAACTACAACGATGGAAAATGCTGGACAATAGTATCGCTTTTTTTCATCGTTCATTCGAACTATAGTCTATTTGCGGAACTTGCAAGTCTAGCTATCCATTTGAAGATGACTCTATTATTTTTTAAATGGTCGATATTGATGCTCTTGTTTCATTTTCTTGATCTTTCTCAAATCCTCTTCAAATTGAGTACGCAAATCAGCCAAACTCCGTTTCTTGTGTTCCTTACGTTGAAATCGATAAAAGTCTTGCAACTCGTCCGATCCCTTTTTCTTTTTGTTGTTATTGTTGCGCCTTCGCGGTGGCGCATTGCGTCGACTGTGAGAGGTGGTAGTGGTGGTAATGCTTTCTTCCAACAGATTGTGAATACCTCCTTCTGCGGCATTTCCAGTTGCTGTATTCGAAGAATAGGACACGGTCACAAAGCCATCGTCGTCCACCATGTTTCCATCTTTGGCTTTCTGGTGGGCCTTCCGTTTGGCCGCCTCTGCTTTTTCGTATTCACCCATGACACGGTTGCATTCGGCCAGGAGTTCGGCTCTGGATAAGGCTTGGCTGCTTGCGTAATATCGCTTGACCACAGCCAAGGCTCCTTGGGCAGGTGCTTCCTTGCTGTATAATTTCTTATGTTTCTTCTTTTTGGATTGTTGATTTCCATCTTCGTCATATTCTTCAAAATCGTCGTCATCATCATCATCGTCATTAAGTTCATTAATGAGCGGATCCTTGCCAAGTCTCTTACGTTCGTCTCGTTCGTACTGCGCCCAAGTCTCATCCGCTAAGGTTTGTAATTCGAGACGATCCATGGTCAAACCTGGCAAATTTTCTTCTTCCTTGTCTTCATCATTATCATCATTCTCGCCATCGTCATCGTCCTCATCGCTATCCTTTGTTGGTTTTTTCGCCTTGTTCTTTTTGCTGCTGCCATTGCCACTACTACTCATGACACGATGCAACTCCTGCAGTGTTTTCTTCAATCCCTTGGAAGAAGCAAAGACCACATGGGCATACTTGCCTTCGTGAAAAATGGGCGGCAAAAAGGTGGGCAAAGTAAGCTTGTCGGACCACAATTCCAATTGCTCTATCGTCAAATTATTGTTTTGTGCCGAATCATCCTCCGGTCGACGACGAATCCGTCGTGGATTGGGCACCACCGTCACGCGGGAAACGTCGGCAAAGCGTCCCAAGATGGATCGCAACGCCAGTTTGGTAGAGACTCCGGGAATAATTGGAGCATTGACTACAAACAAGGTGCAACCAGGTTTGGCCTTTTTGTTGCTCTTTCCTTCCGAAGTAGTAGCAGTAGTAGTGGCACCGTCGTCATCGTCATTATTACTCTTTCCGGCTTGATGTTCCTTCACATAAAAGAAGGTTTCGTCATCTTTGGATAGCTTTAGACGGACCGGCAAGAAACCCTTGATTAATGGTGCGGTTGCTGGCATGACTGACTTTGTATGGCAACTCTTTGTGTGTTTGTACTTGTGTGTTGTGAAAAGACGATCTATAAATAAGGACCTTATTGTGATGAAGATGATTGATGAAGAATGGTTGGTCCGTATGATTCACTCGACCTCCGTCTTGCAACCCGTCCGCGCCGCGATGGATTTTCCAACCAACAACCACAACATCAAATAAGCACACACTAAACTTTGCAGCATTTGTCATCGACTATAATCTAACAGAGATTCAGCGCATACAGCTATCACCTTTTCTTCGGCTCTTTCAACCCTATCAATTGACAGTCTTTATCAAATACCAGAAAAATATACCGAGGCAGACAAAGGTAGAATAGAAGAATCATCATCATGACGAAAAAGAGATCCAACAGTAGTCAACAGGAAGAAGAAGAATCCGTATCGGAAGATCAAATCTTATTGCTGGAGAATCATCATCTTGGAAAAGAGGAATTGGCCACTTTGAGGCTGGTGGAAACGACCGACCGAGCATTGGAATTGATCGATTCGTTATCCAACGAACCACAACGATTTGAAGGAGATGATCCAGGGGACTTGTTTGACAAAATGGACGAAATGAGACAGAGTCTCCAATCGGCGTGGAAGGATGTTTTGAACGACAATGATGACAATGAGAACGACACCGACGATTCGTCCAATCCAAGGGGATCCAAGCGAACAAGAGACGGTCCGTCTGAAGAAGAATATCGATCGGCCTATGTCGAAACCATGGCGGAAGTCTTGGAAGCACCGTTGGACGCCATGAGACAACAACACGAGCAAGATGAACAACAGTCCACAAATGGTGGAAAGAAAGCAGTTCTTGATATGGATGTAGATTTGATAGTGGAAGCGTTGCAGTCAGGGATCGATTTGTTGCATCCAGAAGAAAAGATGCTCTTTTTGGAAGAACTGCAGGCCATTGAAAATGAGGGTGAACAGGACGATAACGAAGCTACCAATAAGGGAGAATCCATACATATGATGCGCCGAAAAGAACTGGGGTATGATGTGTAATAAAATAGATTGTATCAGTATCAAATATCGATATTGTCGCAAGCATGGTGTCTCCGCGCCCTTTTCGCATTCCTGTATCAAGGCCTTTAAGCAATCGCATGTTCCACTGGTCGATTCATATATCGTCTGGGAGCCAGACAAAATGCTGGCACTGTAAGTTCCATTTCTAATTCGCCTGTCATTGTAGTTGCCTCGAGAAGAGTGGCGTCAAGGTCTATCTCAAACTTGTAGGAAGGAGAAAGTTGCATTATTCGAGCTTTACTTGCATTATTGTTTCCATCAGTCGAATCTTCTTGTCTGTTGAAATCTTTTCTTGTCCTTCTTGCATTTGATGTAGTTGTCGACGTAGTAGTTCATCATTTTCCTCAAATCTTATTTGGTGCTCATCGAGCTCGGTATCCGCACCATAAGGAATAGCAGCTTGGAACATATGCCACTCTCCTTTCGGGGACCAGGAACAGAACCACTCTTGACACCATGACTATAAAGACAAGTGGAGGATCGAGCCGTAGTGCGTTTGGAACGGTGATCTTTTGAAGATTCCGTGTGATGATGCTGCTATAAAGCCTCATTGTGATGATTCAAGATGACTTTTTGAAACTCAGTGTGATGATGGGTGTTTTGAAGCCTCATGGTGAGGATTCATGAGCTTTTGTTAAAGACTCGTGGTTATGGACTATTGCTTGAAGCCTCGTGTGTCGATCCACGATTATGGTGATGGTGATGATGAGATTCTTGCTTTTCTTCTTGTTGTCTTGAGAGGAAAAGAAGAAGAAGAAGTGAAAGCAGCACAGTAGGGTATTGGAAAAAGACTATTGTCACCTGTTGGGATTTGCCAACAATAATCAGCAAGCGTTCCATGCTGATTGAGTGAGTTCTCTTTGGATGTTGGACAAAGGACCAACTATCATCTTCCTGTCGGGCTTCGCATCGGAAGAGTTGCAATATAGTGAGAAATAAGTATTCAATGTTCCATGTCGCTTTGCCATGTTGGTGATGCGACTCACGGGTATTTTTATTTTTATGTAAATAATAAAAATGCGGGTTGTGTGAGGCGTGAAGCTGGTTTTGGGGGGTTGTGCCCGTGCGTGCTCCCTGGATTGACCAGTTCACAGTGTTCAACATCCCGCGCGTCGCGGGTTATATCGGAGACAATAAGGCCTCTGGATGAGGGTGATGAAAGATCCGCTCTACAATTCCCAGCAGGGATAAAGAAAGTTACAGTGCTATTCGCTAAAAGGCAGGAGAGTTTGGCAAATCTTGGAATCTCCGTTTGGCAAATGTCAAAAAAGCAGACCACTGCGATGATTGTCAATGAAGGAGGATACTACTGTGGAATTTGAGTGTTGGCTTTGCGGCTTCACGCTCCCCGAAAAAAACAACGAATGGAATCGCTCCTGATTTATCCAGCGGATGATCTGGGCCCACTTGGTTCTCTACCGGTACCAGGTACTGCTTTGAAAAAGTTGAAGTAAAACAAGCG